ATTTGAGCCACATTCACTTGTTCACCCCACAGTGGTTTTTAGTCTTTACAATATCCTAAAAGTCTTTAGCATATCCTAAAATGCTTTTTAGTCCTTTCTAGGGTCTATGCTAGGGGCCAGGGATATAGCAAAAATTACAAAGACTAAATTAGTTACTCATTGCCATTACAGACTAGTGATAGAGTTAGGTAAGTACACAAGTGATTCCAGCATGCTGGGAATACTTCTGTGATGGGATTTGGGGAACCAAAGTATTATGGAAGCATATAAGAGATGGTTTAAAACCAGAATGGGGTGAGGATTTCCCATAAATTTGCAAAAAGATAGGACAAAGCTAATTATCTGCTTCATTTCAGATCTCAGGGAGGTTAAATGGTCTACAGTCAATAATAAATGATGTGGTCAAGATAGCCAACACTTAGCCTTCTTCTTTCACTACTCAATGATATAATTGCCAAAATCATTACCATCACTTTATCATCAACTTCAACATCATCAGTGTCAAAAATTTAATTGGCCATGTATATCACAGCATCAGTTTATATCTCAAAAGAGACATTAAACTAGCTTCAAAACACCAGGGAATGACACACACACATTACCTGGTTATAACTGTGGAGTATCAGGTAAGCTTGCAGGGTGTTATGGGGTTTTTAAGTGATTATATCCAAGCAAGTTTGCAATGGGTAGGTTTCATGGAGCAGATAAATACTGAGGGATATTGAAAGAAGAACCAGAGACTCCATGTGGCAGAGAGAAGCATGGTGTACTTCAGCATGGGGCCTACAGCAGAAACACAGGCCAGAGTGTAGAAAGGGGGAAAACATATGGTAAGATGAAACCAGTAATGACAGGACATGATACCTGGAAGGCCCTGTGAATTTCAGAAGGGCCTTTCTGATCATACAAATGTGGGAAAAGGAAGTACTGGGGTTAAAGAAAAGGATGTATAATCATTTAGGAAAGAACCTAGGGAAAGTTTTGACTGAATTACTCGAAGAGCATCAAACAGCTTTTCTAAGAACTTGATTGCTGAGGATCAGTCATTTGTGTGTGTTTGGTCACAGAGCATGGCCACTTCTGCACCTTAGAAAATGTTCTGTTTCTAGCATTATCCTGAAAGCATTTTCTTAACCATTTAGTTGGTTGACCTAGTCTGTTGCCATCCCCCTTGTGTGTAAGACTTTAAAACTCTTGCTCTGACCTTAAAGCTGGGAATATCACTGTTAGTCTGCTAAAGGCGTGAGTATTCTGAGCCTTTCTGTAATGATCCCTGTAGGTGATAGCGATCACCAAAACGTTGCCTTAGCTCTTAATATGTTCCAATTTAATTTAAATTCTGGAACAATTACTACTGCAGACGATACTTAGATTATTGGCCATTTCAAGTATTTTTGGTCAACCCACTAGATCCTAAAGTTCTTTGCTTCCCAAAAAACTGATTTTCCACTGTGGATGTCTAAGCTGCCTTTAAAACACCCAACCAAACTCTGAGCTGTCATATTAGCTGGGTAAGAGATAAGGGGTAAGAAAAGTATCCAGTCATCCAATCACATTTCTGGGTTTTTGTACAAGCTTCAGATGAAATCCAGTCACTCAATAAAGTCCTTCTGTTTCTCTTTCCCTCCCTCCCTTCCTTTCTCTCTATTTGCCTAGAGAGGGGAATCCTAAACCCTTTGGGGCTTTGCCAGCAGCACCAAAAGAATCTCTTGACTATTTTCCCAGGGAATTCCTGCCTTAAATGTCAGCAGAGTACGACTCCCCAGCCAAAGCAGAGACTGCCTGGATTTAAATCAAGAAAAATGTACCTGCTTATACCAAATGGGAAAATCTGTGACTCGCCAAACAGGAAAATCTGTGGGGTCTGGGGCCACAGAGAGAGATTTCAGTACTTGTGCAAGATTTGACAGCTGTAAGGAAGACAGGTTTTCTCAAATTTACCTCAGTCAGGCACTGGAGGCTGACAGGCATCACACATTTTGGTTCCTTGCTGTTGTTTGACCAGTATTTTTCACTTACTTACCTGGTATTAAACTATATTTCCGGAGACCACCCTGAATGACCAACTTAAGGTAAAGCCACTTTGAAAATGGAACAAGGCTCCATTAAGCCCTTTGTTGTGATGGCTGCTGCTGCTGCTGTTCTGTTTATCTGTTTGTTTTTAATGAACCTCCTGATATATAAGTGCTCTGGGGGGAAATCATGAGGCTGAGATTCATGGAAAGCCAAGTACGATTTATGAGCTGCGATCGAATCTCCCCCTACCAGCCTGGAGACACTTCCCGTCCGGTCCCAAGGCATTGCTGGCATTTTACTGCTTTTGTTTTCGTTTCCAACCTCTGAACACATGAGGAAATATTAAAAGTTCTGAGGGCAAGGGTGGGAAAAGGAGTCCACAAAACCCAAAGATGTACATCAGCACTGAAGGAAGACAATATGGAGAAGGAGACGGAAAATTCCGAAGCAAAGCGTGTGGATTAGCTAGTGTTTGCCGGGTACTTGTGATGTTCACTTGCCCTTCTCTCGGCTTCCTCGTGTGTTACTGACCTACAACTTCCCGCTATTCAAGGAGAAATTGACAAGGCTCTGTGGCGTACAAGACCAATTTTAAATCAATGTGCCATGTAACTATCCTCTTCCCCCCAGAGATCATCATACTACCCGGTAAGAAAGTCAACAGGATTTAATTAATAAATTGGATTTCCATTTTTAAATGAATTAGGCCCTTTTAGAGATACCAATGGGGGGAGAAATTAGATTCCAGTTCTCATTTGAACCCAGGATGAGGACAAAACAGTTCATCTTAGAAGCTATTACTGATAGCCAACAAACACAGCTTCCCACCTCTATAACCCCCCACTACGAGTATATTGTACGAGATTTCTACATCATATTTGCATACACAGCCACAGACAAGCCTACTGGAAACATCTGTCCCTCATCCAAAAAAAAAGCCTGGCAAATAGCTGGGTACACAGAGCTGAGAGTACTGCAGGATGATCAGTAGTATCATCTCAAGTACAATAAGGATAATTAGAAATACTTAAAAAGAAAACCTGCCTCTGGTAGATAAAGAGTTAAGCTCTGGTCAATTTTAAGCCATTCTGCAGAGAGTACTAATAAGTGCATGAGTTTGTGCCAATTAGGGTGGCCTTTTCCTTGATGGGAACAGTCATCCCTTAGGAACCAGACTGCCAACACACCAGCCAGCCAGAAAAATGGGAAAGAGTCTGAGAAACCGTGGTAACCAAGTTTTGCTGGGACTCTGTAAAATGGTGAGTGGAAACTTCCAGGGCCGTGCAGAAATTGCTAATGAGCCCAGGGCAACCCGCAAAGAGTGGATCTGAAAAATGCCCCCCCCCCCCACCGACCAGTACCTTAAGGAGCAGGACTTTCCGTGGGTTCCTATGGAGAGGACCGCAGGGACAAACACTTGAGACTCATTTCCCTCAGAGTAATTACATTTAGCACAGCTGCCTAAAAATTCTAAGTTTTCAAATTTGTAGCAAGCGTTTTGCATCTTTTCTTTTTTTATCTTATTCCAAAATCTAAAAGGTAAACAGCTTTAAGGATCAATATGGAATATTTTAAGTTTTCTTTGTGGATTCACATACATTCCCTGTACCCCTCTTTTCAGATTTTATTCTGACTTTCAGGGAACATGTATTTTCAAGGCTGAGATCACAGATGTATAATAATCAGTGTGCAACCATATTCTGAATAATGTCAGTTCAATCTTTGTTATCTGAGAATGCTTGAAATAGTAATAAAGTGCTCCTCTGGAATCACACTCAAAATTTTAATCCTCTTCCTAATGAGAGTTTTTCACCCATCTCCCTGTCTCAAGTACCTGAATGAGACACCAAAACAAAAATTATAACTGTAATTTAAAAATAAAACAGTCTTTCTTCTCTCTTCTATATTTCTTTCTTGCCACACTTGATTCTAGGGGGAAAAAAAAATTAAATGAGGTAGTGACTAGAGAGACGAAGGAACCCACAGGTAGGTGTGAATTATCAAGGTTGTAGGTGTTGGGCTGAGTGGTGGGTTCACGGATATTCATCATACTATTAAAAAGTCATTCATTAGTATAAAGTAAGAGGATCATGTATGTACCAGCAATGGCAAAGTATCATAAACCAGAGATTATAATTATTCCAATTCTAAGCACCTCAGGTCTATTTAAAGAAAAAAAACTGAATGAGATGGTGACACAGGCAGCTAATTTTTAGACCTTTTGGCAGAGTTCGCCAAACTCCTTAGGCAGAGATGTCTTGATGAACATGCAATCCAGGCAGCCACAGAGGATCTGAATCTGGAAGAACCCACACTTAGTTTAATATCCTGCTGACACAATCCTGAAATTTTTAATACTTTTTGAGTAAAGAGTTTTGCACTGGGACCAGCAAACTACGTAGTCAATCCTGTCTGTAAGTTCCCAGATATTAAATTTACCTACAATTCCCAATAATTTTGTCCCCATCTAACCACTATATTTTTAAAATTTGCTACTTCTTACCTCCAAATTATTTCTGATAAAACAGTCAGAAGAGAACCCTAGAGCAGTCTTATTTCATATATTTCCTGGTTTTCCTTATTTTTTATTGTCCAAATCAGTGCTGCCTGTGTTGCAAATAGAGCTGCATTCACTACGTACATATTGCGCTTAGAACGCTTCTCAGATAAAAAATTTCCAATAGATCTCATTGGCTAAAAAAGCAAATGTACCAAAGCCTAGGTTTCAGTTCCTCTTCATGGCTGGATAATACAAATCCATTTTCTATTAGTTACCCAATTTTAGCTACAACACATAACCAAACAAGACACATACTCAGTGGCTGGAATAATTCAAACAAAAAGATTTGGGGAAATCCTCATTTTCAAAGATTACTAGCTTCAGAAACTGTTAAGTAAATGTTTTGTGTTCCTGAAATGCCCCGTGTCTATGGTGATCGGGTACAGAAAAGTGATTTCAAGTTCAAATATAACTTAGCGATTGCCACATGGTGCAGGATCTTTCCACCCCTCCACTCCAAAAACCCAATCAGACAAGTGGCCGTAATCTGACTCCCAGTGTGCTGGGAGCTGCGGGCAGGCAATGAGAGCTGCACTCTGGCTGGGGAAGGCATGAGTGATAGACCCGCAGCAAGGCGGTGGGGGTAAGTCCTTGTTTGCCTTAAGGGAACAATGCCCAGGGCCAAAATATGAAACTCTGTCTCTTTTACTGCAGATATTTGTGCCTTCTCTGGCAGAATCTAGAAGGTGACTATAGGACAGGTGGGTGGTTCTTTCAGATCGGAATACTGGGCATATTCAGAACAGAGACATACTGAAGATAGAAGAAAAGAGATGCTTTTTAGCAAAATTTTCCATATACTTGAGACCTGCATAAGCACAGGAAGATTGTTCTTTGGAGATCAATCCAGTTATTTTTCGGCAAAAAAATTACTCACCCAAGGGCTCAGATGTCCAGGAATAGCTGAGGCTGGGTGTTCAGCTAGAAAGTAATATGTGATCCAGTACAACCTGGTCACATCAACAAACCCCCTTTGTTCTGAGGCAAAAGGAGCAAAACAAATTGTGTTGATCCACATCCAGTGAGCGTGAAAATGCAAGGGAACATTGACAATATAAACAGGGGCCGTGGGTGCCGCTGGGATGAGCCCTTGCAAGGTCAGAGGTACGTAGGTATATGCTCCAGCAGACTTTGGGGTTCACAGACAACTGAGGCTGGCTACTCTGCCCTGGAAGGAACTCAGATTTTTTTTGAACTTAAAAAGTAAAAAAGAAGCTCAACTCATCCTTAAGGAGTATGCTTATGTTTTGTGTGTTTGGGTGTTTTATGTTTTAAATTTCTCCGGCTAATGAAAATTTGAAGCTGAAAGAGGCACTGAGTGTCTTAGGTGTCTGGAGCGGCAGACAGGTGCCTGAGAGAATGAGCAAGGAGAGGAGGCAGAGTGGCGGGAGTGAGGGGCAAAGAGGGGTGGCCTTGGAGGCTGGCCTTTAAGTGGACCGCCTCTCCCGGTAGCTCTTGCACCGCTGAAAAGGGACATTTCCTGCCCACCCAGCCTCCTTAGCCTCCTCTTCCTTTTCCCCACCAAATCCAGCCACAGAGGACAGCACCTGTAGTAGCACGTTGCCCTTTTGCCATCCCGGCTACACCCCTGGGCCACTGGTGAGTTCGGAAGTGACTCTCCTAACTTACTTTCAATTGTGAGTTCTCTGAGTTTCATCCCCTCCTCGGAGATATTTTTAACGTCTCCTCCAGGGTGCTCTCCCTGCCGCAGTTCAAGTGCTGTTTTTGTCTCTTTATACTCTCTTCCTCCAGGGAAAATGATGTCGTTGTTGTCATCCCAGTTGGGGCTTGTCATAATTACATGATTCACTTAGAGCAGGTCACTGGAGCAGGGATACTCGCAGTACAGCCCGCTGCTCCCCCTGGGGAGCCAGCTCTTCCTTTATCCTGCCACCGGGGCTTGGGCAGCTCGGATGTACAGCCCCACATCAAACCAAAGGCTCTGCTGAGACCTGTGCACAGGTCAAGGGGGTGCTCCCAGCATTTCCTCACCGCCTGTGCAGTAGCAATGGGGAAGGGGATAAGGGTGACTCAGGGCATCAAGGGGACAGCTGCTATACTACTAATGGCTTAAAGTACTTGGCTTTCTTGCTAACCCTTTGTACAGTCCTCTGTGACTAGATTCTCTGCTCTCCACCTTCTTGGCTCTCTGGCTGTCACAGGCAAAGGACAAAAACGAAAGTCCTAGATAACGGGAACTGGGGCTGTTGCCTTCCAAGGGGAAGGCTGGCCATTTCCTGCCCGAATAGGCAGTTGGCATATAATAGCCTCAAATCCCCCCTTCTCTGCCCCAAAGATACAAAGACAGTAAGAGGGATACAGACGGGAGTTGGAGGGAAGAAAGCGGCTTCCCTCCCAGCCTGCCTGCCTATTCCCAACCTCCCCGCCACACACCCCCGCAGCTCCCCAGCAGGAGGCAGGCTGTCCGCCGGGGCCAAGCCAGCGGGAGAGAAGGCCACCAAGACGACCCCAGAGAAAAATCGCTCTGCCTAGAGCTTTGGGCTCTGAGGGCGGCAGTCTCGCTCGCCACACCCCTTTCCCTGACCCGTGCTCCGGAGTTCTGCCCCAGGCAGCAGGATGGCGGCCCCGCAGCGTGCTCACTCCCGCCTCTGGAGGCCCTTTGGGAGATTTCTCTGCGCGGTACCTATAAGGGTTGAGAGAAGTGCGGGCACAAAGAGGGGCTGACCTTCCTCCCCTAAAAGCATTGCCCACGCTCCTGCCTTCCCCCACCCCCAGGGGCCAAGATGCCACCCAGCCGTGCCTGGGCTGGCAGGCCTGGCCACTCTGCGACCCGCCGCTCATCTGTGCACCTGGCCCCTGTCCGGAGACTGGCACCAGCCCGGAATGGCCGCTGCTCCACCCTTCCTCCGGGGGCCTGAGGTTGTCACGTCCCGGTGTCCTCGCGCTGCGCACCTAGGTCTGGCCACCGCAGTGTCCCTCGGGCGGGGACAGCTCAGGGCCCCTCCCGCTGGCAGCGACCTCCCTCCTGGCGCACAGGCAAAGGAAGAGGTGTCGCGTCCCAGCTCAGGCCCTGCCTGCTCCTATCGCTGATGTCAGGCACCCCTGTCTTCAATGAATCCACCTTCTCAAAAGACAGCATTCAGCATCCCCAGCTTTCTGGCAGGGCTGCTCTTAATCCAGAGTTAGGGGGGCCGCATGGGCAAGAGTTGCTCTACTAATCTATTTGCTGAGTGCCATTTTGAAGCAAAAAAGTAAAAAACTAAAAAAGATGTCCCCCTTTTTTATTGTTTTATATTCAAAATATAAATGGGACATGCAATGTACAATGAAACTTAAGGACTTTCTGGAAGCGAATTAACTACAAGGTAAGGATTGTTTACCCTTACTCTTTTAAGGAACTTGATTTGGACGTTCTCCTTTCTAGGACACTTGGGCCGATTTCCCAGCCCCTGTGCGTGGCCTCCTTCACTAACCTCATAGCCCCTTCCCACTGAACGGCTAGAGGGCGGCTTCTGAAGCTGATTTGTTTCTCTTTTCAGTAAGTGTGGACCTTTGTGTAGAAGAGAGAACATCATGGTGGCTTTCAAAGGTGTCTGGACTCAAGCTTTCTGGAAAGCCGTCACAGCGGAATTTCTGGCCATGCTCATTTTTGTTCTCCTCAGCCTGGGCTCCACCATCAACTGGGGTGGGACGGAGAAGCCACTACCTGTCGACATGGTTCTCATCTCCCTCTGCTTCGGACTGAGCATTGCAACCATGGTGCAGTGCTTCGGCCACATCAGCGGTGGCCACATCAACCCTGCGGTGACCGTGGCCATGGTGTGCACGCGCAAGATCAGCATCTCCAAGTCTGTCTTCTACATCGGGGCCCAGTGCCTGGGGGCCATCATCGGGGCAGGAATTCTCTACCTGGTCACACCTTCCAGCGTAGTGGGAGGTTTGGGAGTCACCACGGTAGCCCCTTTACCTTTCTTTGTTTCCAACTGGGACTCCAGACTTCTTGCAAATGCTTTGCTAAATAACACCTTGGTGGCAGAAGAGACATCCCTAAAATTGCTAACTTACTCCCAGGGAATTTTTGATTATTCTTGGTAGGGTGAAAACCGATCCTGGCAACATTAAAATGTATCCATAGAAAAATCACTGTTTGGGGCGGTGCCTGTGGCTCAAGGAGTAGGGCGCCGGCCCCACATACTGAGGGTGGTGGGTTCAAGCCCAGCGCTGGCCAAAACTACAAAAAAAAAGAAAAGAAAAGAAAAATCACTGTTTGCTCTTGAATCACGTGAAAATAATAAGCATTAGATTGGCTTTTTCCTGTCTCTCTCCTATCCCAGCTATGATATTGACTATATATTTAGCTTAAAGTATTTTATTACAATTATTTGTTTATTCTCTAGCAAGATAAACAGTGTCATTTGTTATCATGTTCGTGAGATTTAAAATGATCTACATAAAGGATCATGCTTAAAAAAGAACGGACATTTCATCTTACTTTTATTTTTAGCCAATTAGGAGTATAATTTGTGAGCTCAGCACCAGGGTCAATTTAAAAAAAAAAAAGCCACACATGGTTTAAATTTTAATTGAAATATACATTAATTAATTTAAACCTAATTAATGGATTTAATCATTGCCTTATAAAATGACAAGGCTCTCAAGAAATTCCTTTATAAGTTAAGTGCTGCGGTGGCACATTTTACTTCCTTTGTAGAAAAGGACATTCAGCACAAACTACTGCTTGGTCACTGTAAGAATGATTATCTGTGACGACCCAAAATGAATATAATTTATTCCTTCAGTTTTCTTTGGGGGGGAGGAGAAGAGGGAGGTCTCAGTTGGGAGTGGGGTAGAAGACTCAAATTAACCGTTACTTTTTTACAGAGATAACATATGCCTTTCACAACGACCTGATACATTATCATCGAAAATACGCTTCTTCAATTACAATGGAATTTGTTTTCCTCCCTAGGTTCATGGAAATCTTACTGCTGGTCACGGTCTCCTGGTGGAGTTGATAATCACATTTCAGCTAGTGTTTACTATTTTTGCCAGCTGTGATTCCAAACGGACTGATGTCACTGGTTCAATAGCTTTAGCAATTGGATTTTCTGTTGCAATTGGACATTTATTTGCAGTAAGTTTCCAAGTCCATTTAAATAATTGATCCGTCTCATTTATCCTCACCCTGGCTGGCCTGAAGATGTGTTTTACAGCAGTAGCTTTTTAGTATCCAACCATGTCTGTCCATTTGGGACGATCATTTTGCCAACTACGTGAGGAGAATATTGATATAGTTGCTAACATCTTGAGGTTCCTCTAATTGACCTAATGAACGATAGGAAATTGCAACAAATAATACCTGGTAGTAGCGCTGTTTCAGCAAGTTCTGACCTTGTTTTCTTTTTTCCTATAGATAAATTACACTGGTGCCAGCATGAATCCTGCCCGATCCTTTGGACCAGCAGTTATCATGGGAAATTGGGAAAACCATTGGGTAACTCATGAGATAGTTTCTATCTTCTTACCATTGAGGACATTACCTATGGGATTCTTACCGTTTCCATTATTTTGCTTCCTGGTTTCTCTCACATTCTTTCAACCTCCACCCTCACTTCAGTTTGCCTTTCATAAAGACTAGACAAAGGCTAGCCCAGATCTGGTACAAAACATCTCGTCTCTGTTCTGGGCCTTTACTAACCATCTTTTTAATTTTTAAGCGTTGTTCTGGGTGGTGTATCTGACAGACTGCAGCAGAGTGTATTGTACATAGAGGTTGCCTATGTGGAACAAATTAAAATTGGGTAGTGTAGTGAATGTGTTGTTTAAATAATTGCAAGTAAAGCATTCCCGGTAATAACTGAAAATAAACTTGCAAAAAGAAGAAAAAAGAAAGAAATACTTAAAAGCATTGCCCATAGCAAAAATATTTACCTTTTTTGTTTATAAAAGCATAAACTCAATTAATAGTATATGAGTTGGAAGCATTTGAAGTGCAGATGGTGGAGAATATATAGTGCAAATGTTTATGCTGGTATCATCGTGACTGTAGCTGGAAACATAAATGACGCTCAGAAAAGGCACATTTTCAGTCCCAAGCCTATCCTACTTATCAATGTGATGGCAATGCTTCCAGAGAACAGTGGTATCCGTTTTTAAATATTATGATTCATTTTATTTCAATTGTTTCTTACAGCAAGGGAATTTAAATCCTTTACATAAGTCATTCAGCAATTGTGAAGACAACTAAATAGGCTAACTTACAATAACCATTAAAAAATATGGAATATAAGGCCAGGCGTGGTGGCTTACACCTGTAATCCTAGCACTCTGGGAGGCCGAGGCAGGTGGATTGCTTGAGCTCAGCAGGTCAAGACCAGCCTGAGCAACAGCAAGACTACTAAAAATAAAAAAACTGAGGCAGGAGGATTCGCTGAGCCCAAGAGTTGGAGATTGCTGTGAGCTTTGATGATGCCATGGCATTCTACCAAGGGCGACAGCTTGAGATTCTGTCTCAAAAAAAAAAGGGGGGGGGAGTAGATATATAAGCCATCCTCAAGTGAAGCTAATGTTATTATCATTTATATGTTGTAAATGTTAATTTAACAATTTTTAAAATTGGTGAATATGACAATATGTCACTTGTGTTTTAATCCTATGCATATGGTGGTTATTGACTTAGTCACAACTGCTGAGCTGTGGTGTACATGGCAAATGAGCAGAAATTTCACCACAGCTATACGCATTCATTTCTCTATACCGTGAAATGACAGGATGAGAATCAGAATTCAAAAACAAGATTTTGCATCCAGCCATGCAAATATTCAGCCAACAATGCCATCCATGAGATTGGTCGTCTTATCATTGATATTTTCATTCATGTCTTAAAGCCACGTGCGCAAATGAAAATTTTAATGGGCAGTATGTAGATTTTACAATGAAAGGGCAACTTGCAGTTCAATTTATTAAGTTCAAGCTATTTTGATTTATGAGGACTTAATTAATTACTGACAAGTAATTAATAAAACATATATTTTATCCATAAATAGTAGGAAATTTCTTACCTTATTGATTACATCAAAAGCTTCTCCTTATTGTAATTTTATACCAATCTTAATCTTAATACAAATAAATTTTCATTTTTTAGCAATGGTTGTGTGAAATTTAGCACTAATTTAAAGTATATTTGTAGATAGATAGGCCAGAAGTAATATTAAAAGTGCAGGAGTTTTTTGTATAGTGTCATGATATTCTACTTTTCTTTATACTTATATATAGTTTCTAGATTTTTAGTAATAAAATCTTTAAAGTTACTTTTTTTGTTTTTTTAATTGACACATAACAATTGTACATATTTGTGGAGTACATAGTGATGCCACAATACAAGTAATATGGCAATCAGATCAGGGTAATTAGCACATCCAGCATCTCAAATGGATCATTGCTTTTCAAGTGCACATGACTTTGTTCTCAAAGAGCAGCTTGGCACCAAGATTTGTTTATCTTTGAGAACAAGCAGCTGGATGTCCTATCTATAGGTGTTTTGGAGAACAGTGGTAATTCTTTAGCTGTTTCTATTCTCCTCTATGGGATTTGTAGCCTATGGAATAGTACATATCTGATGAGATCTTACCAAAGGAACAAAGAGTAAAGGCATTTAGTGGAGGGCTTGTGTTTCTCCTTTGAAAGGCCGGAGAGAGGGCAAACTCTCTGTATGGTTTCTTTCATGTTCAAGATAAGTAAGTTGGTTCTTCCAGATGCCCTGCCAACAGTTTCCCTATAAAGGGTATGTGCTCAGCTTCAGCTTAAAGTTCTAATAGTCGTAGATTTTGCAATGAGGATGCTTAGTGAGATTAATTTCCAGAGGGTGTCTAAAGCAAGACACACACATTCATCATATCTCATTCACATGAGAGAAGTATAGTGCTGTGGAAAACAGTACAGTGGTTCAACATAGAGGTTTGAAATCAGACAGACTGAAATCCCAGCTCTGCCACTTGCTGAGTGTGAAATCTTAAGCATGCTTCGTCCCCTCCCAGAGTGTCAGTTTGCTTATTCTTAAAATGGGAAGAATGATAATGATCTATCTCATAGGTTATGTTAGAATTAAATGAGGTAAGATAGGAAAAGTCAGAAAGAGTGCTCGATGAACAGGGTTTCTGTTGCCCAGGTGAGTCTACTAAAGGGATGTCGGATATTCTCAGCAGCCATGTGCCCTAAAGCAAATGCTGCAGTTCATCCTAACTCAGCTCTTATTCTAGGTACACAAGTGATAAGAAGGTCAATTTATTGAAATCCTATGGAATTGCTGCTCCTGGCTGTGCCTCCTCACTAGCCTTCCTCCATAAACTTAGTACAGATTTTTTCACCAAGCCACCATCATAAGATCCAAGCAGAGCAATGGTCCCCAACTTTTTTGGCACCATGGACAAGTTCCATGGAAGACAATTTTTCCATGGACCATGGTGGGTGAGGTGATGATTTTGGCATGATTCAAGCTCATTACATTTACCTCAGATCATCAGGCATTAGATTTTCATATGAAGCCTGCAACCTAGACCCTTTCCATGCACAGTGCACAGTAGGCTTCACACTCCTATGAGAACATAACGCTGCCACTGATCTGACAGGGAATGGAGCCAGGCAGTGATGGGAGTGATGGAGAGCGACTATAAATACAGATGAAGTTTCACTTGCTCGCCCACTGCTCATCTCCTGCTGTGCAGCCTGGCTCCTAACAAGCCATTGACAGACACCTGCCTACCGCCTGGGGTTGGAGACCATAGCTGTAAGGTGATAGCTCTCTGCACCAAGAGTAATGAATGAACCAGGGAGCTTTCCATTCAATTACGTCACCAAATTTGAGAGAGGGAAAGCATGTAACATATGGAAGATAATAATTTACGGTCTTCCTAGTCACATACTTCTTTAAATATTCTGAAAAGCCTGGCATAGAGCAGGTTGCTATGAACTGGGACTCCTTAAGCACTTTACAAACATTATTTCATGTAACCCTTACACCCCACGACATGCGTATTATTATGATCCCCAATTTGCAGGTTAGGAAGGTGAGACTTTGGAAGTTAGGTTATAAAATTTCCAAGTCTGAAGCTGGGATTCCATTTATCAAGCCATACTGAATAACTAAAGCCCTGATTGGTAAAATCTGCCCTATGATCACGATAAGGCAGAAAACCCACGAAAGATAGCAGTATGGAGAGAATAAGAGAAGTACTCTCTAGAATTTTTCTTATTTCTGTGGACCTCTGATGCGAATTTGGTGTGTTTTCTCATTTCCCCTCCAATTCCCTTCTTTTTTCAAGCATGACACGATTGCTGTCTTCATTGAACCCAGCTAACATCAATAGTCATCGTGTTGTTCAATGGAGCCCTGACCACTTACCTTCTTCCATCTTTCCCTCAGATATATTGGGTTGGACCAATCATAGGCGCTGTCCTTGCTGGTGGCCTCTATGAGTATGTCTTCTGTCCAGACGTGGAGCTCAAACGTCGTCTTAAAGAAGCCTTCAGCAAAGCCGCCCAGCAAACGAAAGGGAGCTACATGGAGGTGGAGGACAACAGGAGCCAAGTAGAGACAGACGACTTGATTCTGAAACCTGGAGTGGTGCACGTGATTGACATTGACCGGGGAGAGGAGAAGAAGGGGAAAGACCAGTCCGGAGAGGTGTTGTCTTCAGTATGACTAGAAGACAGCGCTGAGAGCAGACGAGACTCCCTAGAACTGTCCTCAGATTTCCTTCCACCCATTAAGGAAACAGATTTGTTATAAATTAGACACGAGCAGGTTTGTTGATTCATGTCATATTACTCAGTCTAAACAATAAATGTTTTGTTATTTACCAAGGAGGAAAGGAAAAAACCTATCGCAAATTTCAAATCTAAAAAAAAAGAAAAGAAAAAGAAAGAAATCTTTTTGAAGTATTTCCAAAGTAATTCATCTAGTTGCCTTTTGTTAACAACAAATGTAAAATGTGGATCGGGTTTAGGTCAGTCCTGCCTGACAGAACTTACAGACACACCTATCAGTCGATTCCTCCTCTATAAGGAAATAGGTAGTGTCGATCCTAATTTGAATATTTATTCCATCAAACGGAGTTTAACAATGACAAGATACAGTACGTCCCAGAGTCAGGCACATTCAGGAGAGGAAATAGAGCATGTTCCTGTGTGGACAATTCCTTATTTATAAACTACCTCGGCAAAAGAACATAAAGAAGGGTCATTGCTAACCATTTATTTCCATTTATATTGCAAATTCCCAAGTTTCATCCCCACATCCAATTCATAATGTCTTTCCTCCTCCTCAGTGTCGAAGGTGATGTGGGACTAAATCCCAGAAATTTGGAAGAGTATTCAATAAATCTGTGCATGTATTAGTTTTACCTAAGAAAACATCCAAACCATTAGGGACAGCTGTTAAGATTCAGGACAAGCTGACTTGTAAAATCTTATGAGGGTGGGGGAAGAGTACCATCAAGCAAAAATCACCAAGGCAAAGGAAATCTGCATTATGGTATCAAGCAGTCCATCTGTTTTCAGCGCACATCCTCCAATGCACCACCCGAGAGGTTAGCAATCTACGCTTTTAACCCCTTAACCACGTTGCTTATTATCTTTTTAATTTATTGGTGAAACTGGGGGTTTTGTTTGTGACTTTGGTTAGCTATATTTAAACATTAGATGAGACATATTTTTGATAAAGAGAATTTAATTTAACTGGCTTTTTGTTGATTAATAAGCTCTGTTTACCGTAGAAGTATAAACTGGTCAGGCCCTAGCCTAATCTCTCACTTCTCATGACGTTTGTTGATAATCTTCACTGCAAGTATGATGAGATTTGAGTGAATTAAAATGCTTAACAAGTAAGGTATGACTCGGTTGCAGAATAAAAAGGTGAGGTTATCAGCATACTCTGTGTTCAAAGCTGACTTGATGACCAGTCTTTCATTCGTAGACACATCGTACATAACCCAACATGCTTTTAAAGTATTTTTGTTACTGACTCATTTATTCGTCTCAATGATCTGTTTTTCCTGTTCTACTTTGCCTTTTGTCAGTAGTCTTCTCCAGAAACCCCAGTTTCTGTCGTCTTAACTGTCTAGCTTTTTATCCTAGACAAAGAGCTGCAAATGTCAATTTCACTGAACAAAAGCAAGTAGGAATAAAGCAAAAACCTATCACTGCAAGGAGTGGCTTGTAAATAGCTGATGATCAAGGGCTTTCTCCTCCCGAGCACAGTTCCAACTGTGTGTCACTTTTTAGTGTTAATGGCAGTTGTGTGTCTGTGGCAGTGAGATAATGGACCACTATTAAACCTGATTCTCTTCGGTGCTAGGGAAGAGTGATGTGTGAGATTCCCAGCGAGTCATCACACCAGTGTCATGCCTGGGAGTGTCACAGGCATACTTTGTAGCAGGTGCCTAAATCCCAGGCCCCTTTATCAGGAGGCATGGCCATACCACACACGACATCAGTGACCCGTGATTCCTTCTTGGCTGGGACAGCACCTGTAGAAACTAGGGTGCAAATCTCCCAAGGGGAGTTTGTGCCTATCATTTCAAATGTTTGCGCAGCATAACCACGAAAGGCTTAAAATCAGGGGTGGTTCAGTGCAAAAGGTAATGTCAATCACTGGCAAACACGTCAGTGTAAAAATAAGTTCAGTTAACAAGGAATTGCAAACAGATTTCCTGAAAACAATAACCATAACCTGGCTTATAATCAGTTTTATTCTGTCGTATGGTTTACTTCATATACACTCACTTTTACACTCACTTCCAATTATAGCATTCAATAAGGTAGGGTTAAAAAAACAAATGAATAATGTTTTTGTAATTTGTTTTCTAGTGGCTAGCAGAGTGCCTGGCATATAATAGGTGTTCAAAACAAGTGCGTTAATTAATAAAAGTGTATTAGATCTTAAATTGGGGATTTAAGAATATAAATAATTTTCTTTTAATCTGTATTTTGCTCAATATTGAATAAAAGCATGATTTCAAGGACTTCTACAGGAAGGAAAAATAAATGTGCAAACCATAGAATAGAGTTTTGGATTCTCCTATTTTTAGGGGCATGAATGAAAGCTTTAGCACTTTTTTTCCCCTGCATAGGAGACAACATATTTTGTATTTCACTCAAGGCTCTGCCAGTAAAAAGTAATGAAATTGTACCTTTCTAATGACATCTATGCAGCAGGGGTCTATTGCCTTGTGGATGGCACCAAATTATCCAAGTGTATTAGGAGACTGGGGCTTTTTCCTTTAATCCTTTCTTATTAATGAAGTGCATGGTGCTGCTCCCAGGAGACTGCTGCTGACAGACACACAGAGCAGAGATCAGAGAGGAAAAGCTGGGAAGACATAAATGAATTATACCCCGCCATGAAACAATGCCAACTGTCTCTTCCCTAAGGAACAGTACGACAGCCATCCCCAAACTGTAAGGTGGTACTGACACTGAAAATGTGCAGAGCTTGTCAAAAGAGTACAGATGGCAAAGCATTATGTTTTAAGTGTCCTAGCTTTCTTATAAACTTGGAGCCCAGAATTTGAATGTGTGTTCCCATTGTTGAAGATGACGTCTTCTTCAAAGAGTCCTAACCTGTGGCACTGGAAGGAAGCATTTCTAGGCCTAGACCGTTGCCTATGTTTAAGATTCCTTTAGTTTGTTTCTGCTGTTTGAATCTTTTTATAAATTCTTCTACTTGTTCTATTATCTGAGACTTTTCCTTAACGCAGCTCACAGGTACTAGGCAGAGTGGCCGCTCAGTGCTGAAGATTTAACCTGGAGATTAGAAATATTTGGAAAACATACATGATAAAATTGAGCTATCAGATTTATTGGAGCTCTGATTGCAGATAGCACAGGATATTTTTCTCAGGCCATGAAACCAGACAGCACATGTAGAGGTTTAAACTCAATAATGGCAGGAAAATCCCGAAATAGAATAGGAAATTCAAACATGAAAATGAGCCCTGGCAAGGCCCTTTGTGGCAGCATGTTGACGCCATGCCCACATGTTATGAATGTCTGACAGAGAAATTGCCTTTGTGACAACCGAAGATGACAGTGAGAGCCGAATAGGCAACCTTATCACGCAACACAAAAGCCAATGTGAATTCTCATAATAAGCACCATAGGATATGCAAATGAAGGGCATTTTGTGCCCAAAAGTAATTCTGCCTTCCTCATGTGTTTATGGCATGGAAATTATTAGAGGACATGGTTGCTGTCTGGAAAGTGTAATGTAATAAAATCCATTTTCTTAGCCCCCGATTTTGTGAGTTCACATTCGTGTGTTGGTACTATACAGATGGCTCCAGAAACAGCAGCAACTTTTGAAACCCAGAATTCTCTGAAATAAATGAAAAACAAAAATTTTGTCCCTTAATTCAGGGATCAAAAACTCTAGGCACTCGCTTTTGCAAATGGCTATAATCTGTGAAAATACAGACGTATAAAAAAAAGGTTATACAACATTCACAATGAGCACTAAATTTAAGAGCAGTTATGGAGTGATTCAACTATGTTCAAAATCAAAGAGCGAAAAGATACTCTTATTAATAATTTATATCCCGTTAGAAATGTATTTCTACATTTTCTTCAGGATTAATTAAATAAACATGCAATTTATGAAAGTATACAAACAACTATTTCTTACTTTTATGACCCAAATCACAATAAAATTGCAATTCAGAATAAACTGGGGGAAATAAACTGAACATATGGCTATATTCACAGTTATTTATTAACTGAAATGTTACTCCAACATTAGAGCTTAATGTTAAAAAGATGTAAACTGTAATGTCTAATATTTGAAATAATCTTTTAAAGTATTAGCACGGTGGTTGATTTCCATGAATTCTGTTGCATCTCATACTACTAAGCTTGTGCAAATAAACTCTGGAATGTTTTAAAAGGTAAACACTGTGTTTGATGATGTTCAAAAATTCATTCTTGGTTTTTGCAAGTTAGATCTTAGGAGCATCCTTTAGAATGAGCAGAAGATTTAGATATTTGAGTATAATCGACGCCCGACGAAAGGGTGGGGGACCCACAAATCAAATGCATTCTGTGAAAGCCTGCAGAGCATACACTGTAGGAGGGCCCTAATATAGACAGTGAAAATGGTGTTTTCCCAGGCTCACTTCAAAATGTCCACATGTATGCAAAATAGACCACTGGAAATGAGCTATCATTACAGTGAGTCTAAAAGTGAAGACTCAAACAACTGTGACTGGTATTGCTAAATAGACAATCCATCCTCAGGGCTTTTGGCAGATTCCGCCTACCCAGATGGATAATGTAGGCTCAATGAGCACTGGTTTACCCCCTGGGCTCTTGGTTTGAGGGACTTCTCCATTTTGAGAGGTTATAAACCCTCAGTGGAAGATTGAAGATAATCATTTATATAGTGTGCAACCCAGCAGATGAGCGGTGAGTGGTGCCTGGGGAGCCAGGTGGAAAATGTACCTCACGTAGAACATTTGTCACAGTGTAGTGAAATCATTCATGTAGGTATCTGTCTCTGCTAGACTCAAAACTCCTTCAAGGTTAAGACGCTGTCTTATTTATTCTTCATCTCCTCCTACCCCTATCTCCATCCACCCTTCGGCATTAGACCAGGCTTGACATTTCACTCAATAAGTACTTGTTGCATGGAAAAAGATAGAAATTAAAGAATATCTTATAATCATTACGCAAAGCCACAAAGCACTATTCTTCAATCTAGTTGGTTTTTGCAGCGTAGATGTGTGCTAAATATTTGAGTTCTTAAAGTTCTGGGTAGGAGCCTGAAATTAACTCAGACACTAAAGAAAAGGGAAAATGCACAAAAAGAATAAA